ATAAATCAATAAGAATTTACATCAATCAATCTCAATAGATAATACATCTGATATTATATATATATATATATATATATATATATATATATATATATATAATGGATTTTTCTGTATCGGATTTGAAGGGTAGACCAGGGATGTAAGTGTGAGCACTTAAAATGATTAGGAGTTACCCTCTAAATGGGGTCAAGAGAGCTGTCTGGCATCATCCCTTTTGCTTTATGCCATCAGTGTACTTTAAATAGGGCTTGCTTGGTATTTACTACTTCAATTTGAGTAAAAGTTGCGAGTGCTAAATCTCTTGTCTAAAATTTAACAAAAAGAACAGTTGCAGGCGTTTGGCGCATCATGACGCAGGAGTTTATGCTTCGTGGCAAAAAAGTATATATTCACCCATTGATCTCACTTAATATGTTTTGAGAGGTGAACTTTAACCTGTCAGTGAGGGGACAGGTGAAGGGTCTCCTCACTGAAAAGTCAAAGGTCACCTGTCAAAACGTATTAAGTTTGATTGAAAGGTATACCTTTTTCATTGCACTACCTTAGCTTGTAGCAATATTGTTAACTAAATGGTCATATGTCATGATTGTTCAAACATGATTTCTTGATTTTAAGTTGCATCGGGTTCATGTAAATATATACCAGCCTCTTTGGTACAATCTTTGCAGTTTCTTTTTTAACACAAATGGCAAAGCAGTCAATCAACTGGCATTCAGGGTATTTAGGCATCTCAATGTGTTGAAGACGACTTGCTGAAGTTCAAACTAATCACCAAAATCAAGAAGAAGTGCACATTAAGTTGCCTTTATAGTGACATAGGTCTTATGTCCTATGAATAACACCAATTAAAGTTTCTGTTAAATAATCAGGATAGGGATTTCTAGATGTTTACTCATGTAGAAAACGGTTCCTTCGTTAGCTGTGACTGCTGATAGATCCAAAATTATCCATATACCTGACAAATTTGGATATAAAGTTATATTTTAATTCAACCAACATACTTCTTCTGAATTAAACTAACTAGTTCAGTTGTAGTAAGGTTTTCTTATGTAGTTTTCTTACTCATTTGTCACTGCTTGATCGGCTGAAGCAGGCTTCATTTTGGTAATATAAACTCTCAATAGGTGCGTGAGCTTATCATAATGATGTTTCAATAGAATTTAGAGAAGATCAGTAATTCCAGCCTCTTAAACTAAGCAATACTGATCTGGTGTCATAAACTATGGTCTTCTGTTGCAGACAGACGCACAGGCTCAAGTGATCAGCCAAGACGTCAGCTACTTCCAGAGAAAGATTAACCCTGGCTCTTTTCCCGGTATCTATAATCCTGATTCCAGTAGAAGCCCTGATTCCAATCACAGCCTCACATTCAATGCAATAACCACAAGAGAAGATGAGTGGCCAAAGAATGGAACAAAGGTGAGCAAAAACAGATGGACATTTTTCATAATTGCAGCCAGGTATATGTTGTGTAAGAGATCAGAAGCTGATTCTAAAGTATAAAATATAAGTAAATGGAGAAAAACTTTTTGCACATTTCTATTCCAACATTATGAATCATAACTATGTGTACACGGCACATTCTGTTCATGACATTTGGATTTCTCTAAAAATAAATATTTGAGAAAGTTTTACTTGATGTTGTTACGTTATCATATGAAAATTCTTTCATTTTAAACTTCACTGTTTAAAACTATTCACTATTTCAGCAGTCTTGCTTTATTTCACTTATTGATATTTTGTTCCAACAACATATGAAGCCTCTATCCATGAATGGATACAGCATAAAAAAATAAATTTCCCAGCGGGTAAAATTACACTCCATTTGCAGTTCACATGATGTGACAATTCACTAAAAAGATATCAAACAAGCCTCCACATGGTGTGAGTTCTACCTCTGCACCATGTGAGTCAATTGAAAGAACTTCAAACAAACCCTAATTGACGCCAAATCCACAGGCTGTATCTAAAGGCAAACTTGTGAACTGCATGTACCTTTGGACTGAAAGGAGCCCTCCAGCAGCGCAGGTCTGGCAGGAACAGTTAGATTGACATTTCATACTCTTTAGACCATGGAGCGCAGTTGACCTCATTCTGACAATACTCTCTTCAAACAACTGAGGTCACAAGGTAGCGGAAAAAAAATTGCTCCATGTCCACCTGGTGTACATCTTGCAAATTTTTATTTAGTTACAAGTTTAAAAACAAACGAAATTAAATAATTTGCATGTGTTCGACAACAAAGTTTGCAATACTGGAGGGGGAGTTTTCCTCGTTAGCCAAAGCTACTAAGGCGCCAGCTACCAGGGAACCAGCTAGCTTAGCTATGGCGCTAAGGTAACTAGCCAGTCAGCCTGTGGCTAATTAGGTACATGGTGTGACCATGTGGGAAACTGATGCCAAATAAGAACAAAGGAACAATGACTAAAACTAGCTTTAGAACCCAGACAAAGCAGAAAATGGGCTTTAGTGGTTCCTCAACATGTACAGTCGCCACACATCACTCTTCCAAGAATTGGAACTGAAAGATCAAAGGAAAAAGAAAAAGGAACTGGAAGATTCGGTATACGTTGTACTGACACAAGAATCTGTATTCATTACATCAGAAGAGCAGATTTGGAGGTGCAGTGTTTGATAATTAGGAGTGATCACCTTTAGTAATGAGAACATGTATGAGAACTTGCATCACATGTTGACCATCACATAAGAGCTCATGAGATATTCTTTATGTTCTAGGTGCTGGTTGTAAAACACGGACAGGAGAAAGCAGTGGGAGTAATTGAAGATGATAAAAGTGAATTGGCCAACTCCATTTTTACAGGGCAGTACAGTGAGGAGGAGTCTGCAAGATCTTTTCAGGAGGCTCTGATACAGTGGAGAAAAGAAAGGAGCGAAGGAAAAGAAAGCCTTGTTACAACCGATGTACTGGAGACACCCACGACACCAGGTGAAATATATAGACATGGTTGGTAGGCATACACACTCATTATTTTTTAAAATGGACAAATGAATTGTTGAGGGCAGCAATTGTAGCAGTTCTGAATACAACGTGTTTTCTTTTTTATTTGATATAACTGCACCAGGACGTTCAGCATTCAGGCTATATTATTTCCAGGAGATGGGTTGCCTCAAATGTGCAAATACTTCTTTGTAAAAACAGAATTAGATTTTGGTGCACCGTAACATTCTTCAAGACCTCTATACAGAGACCCCCTTTATTACGTGAAAAATGACACCAAAAGAAACTGCTCTCTCTCTCTCTAATGTCAGAGGACCAACAACAGAGAAAATTATTTATTGCATATCCAAAGGTTCTAGTCAACAAGTAAAGTGAAAAATTAAAAAACGTCTTCACTTTGTTTGGAGTGTCAAGAAGACAAACCCATCCAGTTAAAAAACAAAAACAAAAAAAAACACATTTCACTTTTAAAATATGATCTCACTACACACCAAATAAGTGTGCTCAAAACATTTTCTTTTTTCCAAAATTTATCATTGTAAGATTTTGTCTGTAGATACTAAATTTATGTTGAGGCTTTTTACATATCTTCATGGGTGTGTCAATAAATTACATTTGTGTGGAAGAAGCAGTATATCAAACACTTTTGAAGGTTACTCATTACATGCACTGAAGTTCACTTACATCCAAACTCAGCTAACGTATTTGAACTGTGTTACCAAAATGAATGTTGTATCTCCTCTTAAGGCTCAGGGACATAGCATCCATTTAAAAAAAATGCATTTCATATTGTGACTCAGCTGGCCACAGGGCAGTTTTCCACTTTGCCTCAGACCATCTTTAATGAGCTCAGTCCCAGAGGCTACAATGTTTCCTGATATTTTCTGATAAAATTTGAATGAGTAGGTATGCTTGGTGTGAATCTTTCGAGGAATGCTGTACTTTTTACTTTTATAATTGTAGAGTTTGTGTCAACTGGTTTTAATTCTCGTTTTTGAACAGATGCAGAAATTTCCTCCTCAGAACAATTTGTTTTTAATTCTGAATAAACTGCCTTTTTTAAATAGACGCACATCAAACAATGTGAAAAAAGTTTGTTGCACACTCGGCTTTTTATACAGTCCACATTATTTATTAATGCGTTGGCCCTCAGGCCATACGAGTGCTCTTAAAAATGCTCTGGTCTAAAACGTCAATAAATAAAATGGAATTTAAATGAAGATCGATTGTTGCCAACAATTTTGAAAAAGCGAGTGTTAATGCTGTAACAATTGCAATATATTACAATGTATATAAAAATGGGTTTTTTATCCTCCATCTATCAGAGCCTTATCTCATTTTCTTCTCAGCATTTCCTGCTCTCTCCCTGTTCATAGTCTGATCAGTTAATTAAGTAAAGTCTTCACTATTACTGGAAGATCAAGGGCTGAATATGGTGCTAGTAGAGTATAGCTGTTGCATCATGTCGTAATAAACATGGGATTGCTGATGACAGGGCTGCACCTTAAAGCGGCACTGCCTTTCCTGAGACTATGGATACAACTATATTAACTCATTTCTGTGATTTTTCATCCGAACTGTATCTACATTTGTTTAAATTGATATTGCGTATTTAAGGTTTAAATGAGGTGTGTTATTAACACAACTTATATTCTGGGTGGTTGTTTGTGTGTGCATCTGACCAGATGTTTGTGTTCATCATCAAGCCTATTTTTTCTGCTCTACTGCTTGGACGAACTCAGGTTCTGTCTATTCATTATGCTCTGCAAATTGTGGCTAGTCCCTCTGGCGCTAATCATTTCTGCAAGGCCAATGGACCCAAGCTCCAATTTAAAGTTGACACTGTGTGAACTCCCAATGCAAAACAATCACCAAATTTCCTTTACTTCTGTATTTTGTTTTCTCATGTGTGATCACTATGTTTCCATGTTATTGTTTGAAACTTTATTCTTGCTTTGATATGGTTAGCTTTTGTCTTTCATTGCTTTGGCACTTTTGGCTTGGCAGAAGGTGTGTTTTCAGTTTTTTTCTTTTTTATAGAAAGGTGTTTTTCAAAAGGCTGCTCAAAATACTATCCTGCCTTATTCTCTGACTTTGATTCACTTTTCTGTTACTTCATGCTGTGTGTCTCCACTGTTATTTCATTGTTTTATGCCATGTCCTCCTCCCCATATTTCCCCAGCGTTGGTGTCAGCCACGTCGACCCAAACTGACATTTCTCCAGGCAGAGAAGCTGATGGACTAGAAAGAGAAGGAGCAGAAGGGAAGCTAAGGGTGAAGTTTTCTGAAAACAGCCTTACCTACATGGATAAGTTGCTTCTCAAGAAGCACCGCAGGTACAAATAACAATACAAATGCATATCACATCTACTGTTTTCAAATAAGTCCTAACAATAAAAAAATATTCTATAATCATAGTTTTCAAACTACTACAAATACCACTGTATTTAGTGGTACCACAATTTGGCAAGTTAAATACAAGCTAATTAACTCTGATAGTTTTTCAAGGATGTTGATCTTTGATGCTTTAGAAAGTTTTTAAATAAGAAGTACAATGTAAACTATTTTTAGAACTCTCTGTATAGACAGAAGCAGCTTCCTTTGTGTCTTTATATTCAGATAAGTTGTGTGTGCTTTCAAAGCCATATCCAAGTTCTACGTTTCAGATGGAGTTCACAAACCAGTCAGATTTAATTTATATAGTCAATGATCAGACTAACTACTACTAGGAATGCACATGCTGTGTATTTCCCATCGGAGGTCATATATGGTATTTTGTATTTAAAAGACTTAAAGAGGCAGTATTATGTAGAATCAAATTTTTAGAGCTTTACATCTTGGCATTGTGACAACTTGTTGAGGTCAGTACAACAGTTAACATAATGTAACACATACATATTCTCTTTCCTTCCATGTTAATTAATCATGCAGCTCCTTATATGCACCAAAACGCATACTTACTGTATGCAAACATTTTTCCTGTCACAGACTTTTTGTTGCCATAGCATATGCCTCACCTGCATCTCCATAGTGAGCCCTTATAAGACACTACTGAACAAAGCAATTTCTTTGTACTTATTGTGCAGTTCATTGCCTGCAGGTTGAGCTTCTGCAGGTCCCGTTATCATAACCTTTATTTAAGCAGTTTTTTTTGGCCTTAGTAGTCAGCTTGAGAGCAGGTCAGCAGGAAAGAGAGCTGAGTGGAGTTTTGGGCATTCTCTCTGCTGGAGCAGGAATGCTCTACATCCCAAACTGTAGCAGCCTTTAACTGTGGAATAGACCAGAGAGCCAATCTAGAGTGCAATAACCCTGAAGCAGCGATGGTAGCAGAGCTTAATGGAGAGACAGAGAGTCTTACCAGCTGGAGGGAAGAAGGAAGGAGAGGTTGAATTTTAACAAGCTTTAATAATAATGTGAAAAGGAGGGGGTAGAGAGCAGGAGAGAGCTTTAAAGAATCAGCCAAAAGTGCTCAGCTATATTAGAGTCGTAAAGTCTATCACCCTAGTAGATTTGTGCGCGGCCTGCAGGTTATAGAAAGCGAGCTTTTGACCGCACTGACTGAGCTATGTTGCAGGGGTAAGTGAGTGCTCATCCGTCCTCTGAGAGCCGGACTTTTAACAGGTCCTGAAAACTAAACTATTAAAAACCTGCATGGTAATAGACAGGTTGACTTCTAGAAAGCAATTTTAGCATAAATTTAAGATGAGGTTTAACAAATATTAGAGAAAATATTTGATTAACATTCCTTTACCTCTGGCAGTTTTTGCTATGGAGCATGAAAAAAGCACATGTGTGATATCTGTGTAAGCTTGAAATATTGTTCATGACTTTTTCTAATAAGGTTTACAAGCATCTGAAACAACACGTATGCTAAAACACAAAGTTAATCTGATGTTAAATAATACAGGCTCATGATATGTATTAAAAAACTACAGAGAGGTTTTTGCCTTAGGACAATTCTTCATCATGCACCATATTTACTCTTTTTTGCAACCTTTTTCCAGAAATAGTAAGACAGTACATCTATTCAACTACCTATAGCAAAGGTCAATGTGCCTAGGTCAAAAATCAAATATACTTTCTACAGATGAGCAATTTGGTCTCAAAAAATAAATATTTGTAGTAATATACAAACAAAACAAAAACATTAATTAACAACAAGATGTTAGTAGCACTAGTGTCATTAATTTTAATAAATTAGGGGCAGCCATTTTTCTTTTATTACAGACATTTTTTTTTATTATTAAATGCATTTGAATATCCAGGGGTGGCCAAGTCCAGTCCTCGAGAGCCACCATCCTGCAAGTTTCAGATGCATCCCTGCTTCAACACACCTGAATCAAATGACTGGCTCGTTATCAGGCCTCTGTAGAGCTGATCCCGGTCTGTTGGAGTAAGGATACTTCTAAAACTTGCAGGGTGGTGGCTCTCGAGGACTGGACTTGGCCACCCCTGGAATATGCAAATAATAATTTTTGGTAAAAAGAAGGCAAAATAAATGGGTTCATGTATTTTGAGTATGTAGGATTTTGAATTGTACCGCTTAATTTCCATATATAGTGTCATTCACAGATAAGAATAAAATGCTAAAGAATAAAACTAAATTGTTGTAGTTGTTCTAGCACAACTGTTTCTGTTTCTTCATTTCCTCTTTTTATGCTGCTTTGTTTTTCTTTTAACGGTGGATCAAGTTTTTGTTGTTACTATTAAAACAAAGGGCTCTTTGCACGTCAGCTTCCGTGTTTAAGGAAAAGCGGCTCGGTCGCTTCCGGTCTCTTGAAAATGGCATTTTACTCTAGGTGCTTGTAGCCATTTGCTAAAACAATTAATGATGTACATCGATCCGAAGCCCCAAGAAGTAAGCTGGAGAAAGGTTTTAAGATGTACGCCTCATTATACACTCACAGATACGAAGGTGCGTTTTACTTTCTTTAAACTTTGCGGCTAACATTAACTTTAGCTTATGGTAGTAGGCAATATTCTCTGACGTTTTAATCCATTCCATTCTAGTATTTACCTTATTTTCAAGTATATTATGTGTGTTTGTTGTCGTTAGTGTCAAACAGAGACCAAGTAAGATTACAGTTCAGGCTTTTTGCTTCCGAAGCATGAGGAAGCACAACAAGCCCCATAGCTTAAAAGTAGGGCAGCACTGGTGTCAGAGTTTGACTTCAGCTGACTCAAGATTTCAAGTATTGTATCATCCAGTAATTGCAAAGAGCCCACTACAGTTTGTTGGTATTCTATATTGATTTGTGTTTATGTTCCTAAAGAATTTTCCAGAGGTGAACTTCTTTCTCTAACCCTCACCAAGTTTATGTGAACTTACTTGGACCAAGAAATGTTGGTGACATCGGACAGGGAATCTGTTGAGTGCATGTTGGTTGATACAATACTTGAAATCTTGAGCAAATTAAGCTTTTTTTTTTTTTTTTTATTTGGTGCACTGCAATATGGTTTTTAATAAATTATGAGAGACAGTGGTCAACTACTGTGTTGTGATTGTTCTCAGTTATAGAGGCTTGCATTTTTGTCTCCAACTGGACTGAAATATAACATTTTTCTTGCTGTGTGATTTTTTATTTTATTTTTTTATTTTTTGACATCATAATATTGAGATCCACTACCACAGGTGGTAATATACAGTGGGTACAGAAAATATTTAGACCTCTTTAAATTTTTCACTCTTTGTTTCATAGCAGCCATTTGCTAAAATAATAAAAAAAATAATATTAAGTCTCATTAATGTACATTCAGGGTTCTATCTTGACAGAAAAAAACCCAGAAATGTAAAAATCTTTTTACATGTAAAAATCTTTTTACATTTCTGAATACTTTCCACTGTATGTCAACACACAGGACTCTATACCAGGATATGAAAACTGTCTTGTTCATCCATCCATCCATCCATCCATCCATCCATCCATCCATCCATCCATCCATCCATCCATCGGCAGATAGTTTGAGGGGAAGTACATATTATCTGCTTACATTTATTATGTTTTAATTCAAAGTTGACTTTCTGTTTTCAGAACACCTGTTGAAAGTCCTCCATCATTGGCATTTGACATGGGTTTAAAATCACCAGCTACCACAGACATAGAGGAAGAGATGGCCACCATCCTAACTGGTAACACAAGCACATCCACATCTATCCTTCTCTGTGTGAAATACATCTTTTGACACAGAAAATGAGAGTGATACCATGAGATCTTGATACTTTTGCTGTACATCTAACCTTTCTGATACACACAGTCAGAACAGGCTCTCAAACTAAGCTAACAGAAGAGTAGATCGACAGATGACTTACATCCACACATATCGCATTCAGATATACAAACACACAATTGGAAAATCTCTTTCTCTCAGCGGGTCAGACATATTGGTCCTTGCCCATTCATCCATAGCTTTGTGACAGGTAATCAGTGGCTGTGATTGTGCAGGTAGAGTGCTGTTATAGGTGGCTCAAGCTTGACAGTAAGGGATGGGGCATTCAAGGGGAGGGAGGGTTCAGCCAGTCATCTGCAGCTCACTGTCTGTAGCTTATCAGTCAATGAAATGTTTTCATTTTCTAACTACAACCAAGGGTTAAAAGGAGATGGTAGACCAACATTGCAACTGCCCCTCAATACCTTTCGATCCTAGGGCATTCATCTGCTTCTTATTGCAATAGAGGGCCGTCTCTTTGTTAGTTTTTTAAATGTTATAGGTCAGAAATACTTGCTAGATCACTCTGTTTTCTGTTAAATAGTCACAACAAATTAGGAGTAATTTTAGATTGCGCTGACCTAAGGATAACATTAATTGGATTTAGTTGAGGGTTGAATATAAAAATTAACTCCTGACCAATTTTAGATCTGTGAGTTTCAGCCAGTCTATTTCACACGTCCAAAAGGTGCTTCTGAGAAAGTTGGTTTTGTCCCTGTTCCCCCCCCCCCCCCTCCCCCCTCTCAAACTCCACCACAACACTGATTTGGTTAGTTTAATATTCCAGACACCAACAACTATGCCATATTCAAAATTCTGATGATGAACTTCAACAAGTTATCTTCACCACTCCAAAATGCTTATGTCCTTTTCTATTTGATCGGCTAATTCAATATTTGTGTTAACAAGCAAAAACGGGTGAATCTAATAAAGAGGCCTGTGAAGGTAAATTTCCCTAGTGAGGCTAAACACAAACATGTTAGCACAAACTTTTTTGTTCGTTACTAGTGACATTTGACAATAACTTGGGGCAGGGAGAGATGGAGGAAGACATGTGGCAAAGAAACCATGGAGAGGGAGAGTGCCCGGTCTAACCACTGAGCCACGCGATGCACAAACTTTCTTACACTCGCAAACTGCTGTCACTCCACCACGTTGGTCTGACAGCATAAGAAAATGAAAATTTTAGATGAAGGGTTTCTTCCTACATGTAGGAAGTAAACAGCTTCTATTATTCATTGACATACTCATTTCTCCCCCTTTTATATTTAAAGATTGATGAGGGGGAGAGGCTCTGCAACCTGTTGTAACGAGCATGAATTAGAATAAAGGTTTGAAGCAGGTGGTAGGAATAGGTTATCAACCTCTGTACATCTCTACATTTCCAAAAGACACTTCTGTTTTTGTCTTATCTGCATACAGTTACAAGAAAGAATAATCTATTATTTAATTCTGAGTAGTGAAATCAAAGTTACGGAGTGCACTTTTTTAAAATAAGTTGCTGAATAAATTTTGAGCACAGCAAACACTTGAATGTGGATGGTTCACCTACTTGGATAGCAGTTTAAAATCCCAAATTTAATGGTGAAATGTGACCCTTTTTGTGGTTTTAACAGAAGATAGTTTCTATACCATTCTGTTACTTTTGATTATATGTTTTCACAAACATAAGAGACGTATGCTATGGAACAGTGGCAACCTACTTTGGGCTATGCTAAGTTAATGCCATGATAAAATGAAACTTAACAGAACAGCAGTGTGTAAAAAGTGTCTGTTGGAGCAATTTGTTGAAGCACATGATTCACTTTCATCATTTCTAATTTTAAGAGTATATTTTTAACTTAGATTGTGCATAATATAAGTGATTAAAAATACATTTTAATTTGGTATGCACACTTTTTGGAGGAATTATATGTGCTGAATTTAGCATTAGAAGATCAGATTTAGTTTGCTTCTGTCACAAGAAGAATTTTTAACTAAAGTTTATAATGGGAATGCCTACCTCATCATGTAAACTGTTTGAAAACAGAGCACTTCATCATTTTCAAACAACTCTACATGTTCATACTCATATTGCAGGTTCCAATTTTAGTCATCAAGACTTTTAAATCTTTGAAAACATGTTTTAGCATGACTTTTTTTTGATGGCAGAAACACAAATTACATAATTACCGTATCTCCACTTTCTCAACTAAATGCTTTTTATCTATCATGATCATTTACTGCAAAGAGCCTTCAGGTTTAATATTTACCATGACAAAATGTTAGAATCCTTTTATGCTAGAGTAATGTTGATGAGCAGATTTGCACATTGGGGCATACTGGATTGCAATGCAGAGTTATTTACAGTGAATATGGATGATGGGAAATACAGAAATAGTGTGCTCTGGAAGTCTGGAGGCTGTGCTGGCTCCGGTTCTGTGAGGAAAGGGAAGAAATTAGCTGGGAACCAGAGAAATGGGAAACTGAAACACCAATTCTGGGTAGGGCTTACAGTCTCTAGTGGAACTGAACACTGAAGGAGAGGCATGGATCCAGGTAAGTGTTGTGGAGGCTCCACAGCCATACTGGAGGTAGAGCGGAGAGGTTATGGAGTCCAGGGTCAGGTTAGGCGTTTAGCAGTCATGGAACAACATGAATCCAATTCTACGGCAAGACAAGTTGTGACTCCACTTGACCTGAGGAAGGATAAAGCATGGACGAGTCCAGGACGAGCCGTGAAACACATCCGTAGCATTTGATTCCAACAGCTAATTGCTGAAATCAGTAATCAGTCAGACTCTTTCACAACGATCTTCTCTGCGAGGAGAGCACTCACACGAACACAAAAACTGAATCCTTCCATATTGCCTTTTTGATCATTTTGGATTTCTGAACATTTTTGTAAACATTTAAACTTCATACTTGAAATCATTTCAACTTAATTCCCAAAATTCCAATTTTATTCTGCTAAATCACAAAGAATGCTTATATCTTATTTTCTCAAGTCTAATTTGTGCTTTTATATTTTTAGCGGAAGAGGAAGATTTTCGGGAGTACTGTTCATCACTGCTCAAAGTCCCTGCCAGTAAGGACAGCACTGAGTCACAAGTTTCCACACCTGAATTATATCTTGTCATAGAAATCTTGGATGAGGTAAAAAAATAAAAAAAGACCGCTTTTATCCAATAGCTTTTTTTTATACTTAATATGTCACATCAAGATACAAAAACTTACAAATGTACAATATTGTCTATTAACATTTATGTCTAACTCATCCTCATGTGTTTCTTTTTTCACCACAGGAATCCAAAGATAAGAAGATAGTGTCTCCAACGGAGCAAAAGTTGGATAGCAACCCAGTGTAAGGCTTTATTTAAAGCATTTCTTAGCATGGCTTATAAAATAGTAACCAGGTTTAGAGTATTTCTAATAAAAAAATGCACATGCAGAGCAAAATCTGTCGTTCTCAATAACAAAAAGGGAGCAGACATGTAAAAGCTTAGAGCCATTCATGACAAATTCTTAGTTGCTGGTAAATAGATGTAGAGCAGATGTTCTCTTGGTTGAAAGTATGCATTGTTTCTTTAAGACAACAGAGAAAAAGGTAATTATTGTCTGTTCTCCCTCAGTGCTGATGTGTACATCCAGATGAATAAGCTGCATTGTTGTTAAAGCTCAACACAGTAGTTAAGTGAGTTGAGATGAATTGCTTTACTTTCAAGTCTTATTCCAATTGGTTACATTGAAGAAAAATGGGTTGTAATGGATTACACTGTATTTATTGTCCCATTTGGCCTTCAACAGGCAGATGAATTGAGAAGGTGCCTTATTTTTCACTCAGAGTTTCAGCTGTTCAACTATCCCAAACAACCTTGTTTGTTCACAGGAGTTCAAAAGCTGATCTCTCCTCTACCCGTTCAACTCAACCATCCAGACCATCTAAAGCATCAGTTCGACAAAAAGTCAAGAAGTCACAGTGCCTTCACGATCAGATTTCCAAAAATGACTCAGTGATAGGTAAGCTGTGTTTTACTATAAAACCTGGATAAGGCTTGAGATTAAGTCGATTCTAATATATTTTCTTTTCTTGATGGCAGCAGTGCTTCCAAATTGGTCTTTGAATTGTGTAAAATTCACTTTTATGCACATGTTTGTACCTCCATCTGTGTCTCTACTTTTTTCTGAAATAGTCCAAGTGCTTAAAAAAAAAACATTCTTTCCTGGCAATAAGTTAATATTTTTTGGGTCAAAAACTCATAATTGTTACCCTTTTTGTAACAATCAGAGAACACTGCCCCGTTTCCTAGCATCCCTAGCCAAGCCCACTCCCTCACCTAGCCGAGCACTTCTGGTCAGCTGGCTTTACTATTGTCCAATAGCTGTACTGTTGTACAGTTGAGCATCTGTTTTCCATTTTCAGGTGTATTAGTGCAAGTATAAATGTTGAGTTGGGGGGTTGTGGCAAGCAGCTTATTTCAATTTAAAGTGACAAATAAAACAGTTAATTCTGAAAGGAGATAGAAATTGACTGAACTGACCAGGTGAAATCACATCATCTGGGAATAATTTGTGCAAAATATGTAATGAAGAAGTTTTTATAACCCAAATATCTTTTCTAACCTGTTCAAGGACGCACAGTAGGACCCAGTTGTAAAATTGTTCTTGTAAAGTTTAACATGAATTTATCTTATTCCTGTCTCTGTGGATTATTTGTCCAGCATAACCTTCAGATCGTAGGGCGTCCACTCGATCTTCTGTTGAAACATCTAAGAAATCTACTAAAACACCAACTTCATGTTAATCAAAGACAATTAACTCTCCTACAATAAGTAAATCAAAAGCTCAATGTGGATCACCACAATGCTTCCCCTCACCAGATTCAAAGTTTAAAACTCACAAACCCTCCCAGCCTCCTGTTTTATTTTTAACTGATGTTTCAATTTTGGATGGTGCAACGTCAGCTATCCCAGAGGAGCATCTTTCCCCTTCTTCATCAACAATTTTTTCCCCTGAGGTTTACGATCAGTGTCTCTCCATCAGCCTCTACTCAGTGTGTCTTATTGCCAAAGGTTTACCACTCAACCCCACAACAGAATGATACAGAAAAAGCCCGATCTTGCCAATTATTAGCAGAAGCAATCTCATCTCTGAACCCTTATGAAACACCAAGAGGCAATCTAATCTCCCCACAGCAATTCCAGCTTCCCAGCAGTGACCCAGATTGTCTGCTATTAGACAATCAACTCACACACTCTTTATCACCTGGTACTGTAACACCACGGCTAATGTCTAAGGCCATGGGAACGATTATTTCAATAGCCAAACCTGTGCCAAACAATTGTCCTCCACGATGAAGACGCTCCAGTTTTAATGTCATTAGTATGTGGTGACCACAAATTAACACATCATGTAAAAAGGCATATTGTGTCTCATCATATCTTCTCTCAAATGACACTGTGATAATCCTGTGGATATGAATACTTCTGCAAATCACTGTGCGCTATTCCCCAAAAAGTCCAGTGTAGACAGACTTTTTGGGGAATAGCTTAATTTTGCAGATAACATTTGATGCAGTCAGGATGATACAGGATTTAGATGCTATATGCCATATCATTCCTGTCATTCCATTGGATTTATACACTTTATTTTCACATTGACTAATTATGTGGCGCAGTCTTAAAATTAAAAACGGGCCAACAGAAAACTATTCTCCATTTAAGGCTGATAAATTAAAATTCTTTGTAGTAAAGAAACCTGAAGAAAATAACTATTTCATGCACAGCTTTAACACAGTTAGTAGTGAATGGCTTGTAAATATCACAGTAATAGTTTATTTTATTCTCTGGGTCTGTCAAAACAAATTTAGATCCAACTATTAAGCATGTTCTATTTATTTATTTTTGTTAAAACTGATTAGAGTTTATTTCTAATTGCTCATCACCCTTAAATGTACTAATGGCTACAAACACATTTATTGCTGCATCACCATGGCAACATTAAATAGCACAGTGAAAATTGTGGCCTCTCACTCTAACCAACAGAATACCCCAAACCAAGCCTTAATCCTCTGACCAAACCCACTTGAAGTTTCAAATTAAATTTATATTTAAAATCTTTAAAGTTTAAAGGCAGCCATGTTTACAGGAGAGTATTTCTTTTAGCAGTTACATTCAGCAAAAAAAGTTAGCATGTTGTCTGGATGTATATTGTGAAGTCTGACTTGATTGGGCCCATGTTTGTAACAAATATAGGAATACATAAGTGGATGGTAAAACTGTAGGCAAGGGAAAAGCAGTTAATATTTAGCACATTTAATGCATTCAGAAGAATGAGACCTGATTTGGCTATCCACCACTTGCATTAGAAAAAGAGAAGTCTGCTACAGTGACAACTAAAAGGGTCTATTCTTTCACAACTTTCTCAAACCTTTTTTACTTTAACTTTCCTTCCCTTGCTTCATATGTCTACAAATATTTCTGTGTTCATCCATCATCTCTGTGTTCTCCTTCATCTTTTTCATCCTTTATTTCCACTACTTACTTCAGCTCTTTGACCAAGGAGACACTGAATGCCAGCTTTATCAGCTTATTAGAGCTTTAAAGTGTCAAGGACACTTGTATCACACATTACCATTTCACTGGAATATTGAATATAAAAATGTTTTCTCCATCAGTTGAAAACATTACAAACAATGATGGTCTGTTTTTACTTTTCACCTTGACATTATACCATGTTCTAAATCACATAAAGACAATAGTATGATGTGTATTAATACTCTTGGAAAACAAGTGTTGTTCTTTTTACCTACAACACATTGGCAACTTTTATTTTAATGTTGGGTGTTTATTTCTGTTTTGTAAAGACAGTGGGGATATAATGACCAGTGACAGTCTTTATCTGACTCCAACAGAAGACGACTCCTGTGCAGAGAAAGCAAGAATACATGGACATTTACCAATGGAGAAATCAAGAGAAATGGCCAATAATCTGGAAATGTCTTATCGAGAGGACTTAAGACAAACAGAGAAAGATTTGCAAACTGAAGGCACAAGACAGCGGCCAGAAACACACATGGTAATACATTTTATTGACTTAAAGCAAAGTTATGCTGAAAAGAATAAGTGTTTTATACAAATGTTTTCCATGTTGCTATCTTTGTTTAATGAAAGCCCTATGATGGACTCTCACGCAAACTAGTTCCCCTTCCCTCCCTACAACCCACTTGGAGATGGATGGATGGATGGATGGATGGATGGATGGATGGATGGATGGATGGATGGATGGATGGATGGATGGATGGATGGATGGATGGATTTAAATGACATAGTGAAATATGTAGCTTTGTAAAAATTTAGGGGTAGTTTTATACAAGTTTAGAACCTCAACCTTGAACTTCTAAAATTGAACAGAGGTGAGTAAAGTACCCAAAAATTGTATTCTAATAAGAGTAGTGGTACTTCAGCATATGTTTATTAAGTAAAAGTAAGGATTTACTCAACTAAGTGTAAAAAAAAAAACATATTTGTTAAAAAGACAACTCAAGTACAGAGTAACTGATCAGAACATCTGATTTAATATTTACAAAAATCATCAAATAAACGAAAAGTAGAAAGCTATGTATGTTTAGTATTTCAAAGACAAATGGAAAAAAAAAATCACACAAATAACATAATTACAAAATAACAAATAAGGCAGAAGAATCTAAGTTCAATCTAAAACTTATTAAACAGAAAGTTATGAATGTGTATGTTTCCAGTGTCACTGTGATGCACTGTATTTTTTGTTTTTTACCATCAAATGTCTCAGTAGATGGAAACTTTGAAGACAAGTGTAGGCATGTGCCTGTATCTTGGGCATTTTTGGTTAATACTTGTTTCTTGTCCATCTAGTAAAGTTACTTACAGTGGGTAAAGTATGTAGAAATTTTGTTACAGTAAGAGTAGTGATACTTTATAGAAATACCACTCAAAAAAACATGATGCGTAAGGCTACTCCTAAAGATACATTTTTTCCAAAAAGTTATTCAAGTAAGTGTAGATATTTACTACCCACCTCTTGGGTAGTAAGAGGTGGGTAGTACCTCTTACTGATAAAAAAAGAATGCTCTTTTTTTTATCAGGACTAGGAGTTAGATCAACATCAGCTCCCATCCTGTAAAGCATTAGTGATTGCCACGGTCGCATATGACTTCTACCAATTGTAAGTGACCGCATCGGTGGCAATCTCAAAAAATCCAAATTGATTGTTTTAGAAATCTGTGAAATTAGCTGACCATCAAAGCCAAGCAGTCAGTACAGACCATTTCTTTCTATACACGTTTCTAAACACATGCCACAGTGTTAAACGTTAACACTGTTATTATGAATTTCTTACCTCTTTGCTTTGTGACCTCGTTGCTACTATTGTTGTAAGCTACAGTTATCATCCTCTGGTATCAAGGGCTAATTGACGAGCCGGTCCATTATGCACTTAATGCATAAAGCATAATTTGCAAAATGCTCTATAAAAAAAAAACAACAAAAAAACTGTTGTGCTGTTTGTCAGCAGAAGTTGTTAAAGGTGAAACTGTAAAAGCAACATACAATGAAATGAGAATAAGCCTTGGTAATATTCACAGCACAATTCAGAACTAAGGAGGCAGTGCTTTTGTCAAATCCACACAAATTGGTATTGACACACTGTGATGCAGAATGAAAAGTTGAAAAGTTAACACTGGTCTTTCTACTGGAATGTCTTTGGATTACTTTAAGGTTTTTGTGGCCTTTATTAGAAAATTTGTTGGATGATAAACTGAGCAGAAAGAAAGGTCACTTACTGTTGGAGTTGTGTTTTTAAGAATGCCATTGGTTTCGTTTGTTGTGATTAGTTGACGTCATGGGTATAAACGCGACTTAAATATTTGTATCCTTGTGACACAGAAGGTATAAGTTTTAGACGTTTATAATGTTTGATATATTCACTGATTAAAATAAAGGAACTTCAGTGACCCATAGCTAACTAGTTAGTTTTTATAGCTGCTACCCTTTTCTATTAGACAATGTCAGTATCAATGTAATTAGATTACATAATTTATCTGTAACTTAGAGATAAATAATGCTGTGGTATTAAAAGTGAAATTCATTGATAAAAGAAAGCAGAAACAGAGTGGATTAAAAATAGACCTATCTGAATGGTCTCAAATGAGTAATCTAACATTTAATGACATGAATCCCTCGTACCGTGGCAAAGGAATGAAAAAGAAAAAAAAGAGGAGCAGCCAACGCTTTATTAAAAAGCTTGAATAAAATGATGTTCATGATTGTGAAGATGGTGGTTATCTGGACTCTCTGGACCTAAATCAAACTGCTCCTGGAATGATTAGATAGTGTTTTCTTTTTCTAATTTTCTCTCTCTCTTGCAGAAGACTTTTTCTGCTCTCTTTTCCTGCTAATTCATTTTACTCTCACTCCCCTTCATGTCTCTTTATCAATCTTTTTGTTCATTTTTTGTAGGTTTCTTCTTCCATTTCTGTGGGGGGTTTTTTCTTACGTTTACACTGTACATAAGGCAGCTAGTCATTATTAGAACATATTCTGCATTAAGAAATATCATTCCTTCCAGGTTGTTCAGTATCACTGTTTGGTCTCTTGCCATTTCATTGTTTATCTTTTAGCCTGACTTCCTCCTTTCTTTCCTCATCCCTGCTCCTTTCTTGCTCTGAGCATTGCTATTCCCACTTGCCTTTCTCCCTACATTCTCCCAGCCCATCTGCAGTGTCATGCAAGGCTAGCATGCTAATGTATCAGATCTAATCTTAACTAAACAGAGCTTGCTCACTTTACTCCTATCTCACAGGAGGACACTTGCATGGGAGGAACGGCAAACACACCACACAATTGTGAGATGTTCTTGCCAGCTCCAGGGGTTAATTAAAAATCAATTCATCAAGTGGAAACAAAGGAAACAGGGAGAGCGGGGAATAATCTTCATTAAAAGACTTTGTCTTATTAATATGTATTTACATGCTCGACATTGAAAAATACAAATTCACAGTTACTTGGGTTCATAAAAGTTACAGTGATGGTAGATTTTACTTTAGCCCATACTCTGCTGGTTTATGTGCTATATTTTCATGTTTTGTTTCATTATTGTTGTGTCATCCAGCTCCAATATATATTTACTTTTTTGTTTTTATTGTCTTGTCTTGCTCTCCTTCTTTGTGTGCCATCTCTCTTTCTCATTCTAACACGAAATGTTTGAATCTATTTCTGTCCCTCATTCTACTCTGTCTTCCCATCTGTTTTCATATCCCCTTAGGTGATGCAAAACCAGACTGCTGGGTTTGGATCAGAGCAGTTCTGTGATCTGGATGGGTTTTTGCCTTTAGGTTTGGACACGGATACCGGTCACCCAGACTCACCAGAGCAGACACACTGTGACAGACTTCACACATGCCAATTTTCAGTGCGTGCCTCAGACCCAACAGGTTGGTTAAAAAGGGGAAAGTGTTTTGATATGCATAAGGGTTGTTTTTGAATATTAATGCATCACTTTCAGAGGGTTTCATCAATCTGGATCATGTGTTTTTTTTGGGTTTTTTTGTGAGCTGCATCAGGAAGTGTCACTGCTGTTTTTGTACTTCAAGAGATTAGATTGTAAAGATTACCTCTGTGTCCAACTTTTGCTTGAAGATACTTTCCAATTTGCAAGCATTATTCATATCACAAAGGCCTCATAATGGGGTTTTCAACAAATATGTAAAATTTGTGGAGCTTACAAGAGAGATGAAAATGAGTTTTAAACCCAAAGGAGTTCTGGCTGCTTGGCGAAACAAGAGCGATGGGTGGGGGAGCAACAGACAATTTACTTCTTGCTGGTCCAAAGGGAGGTTTTCTCAAATGTGCTTTTTATTATGTATGGGAATGTGTGTATGCCAATGCTTCTGAGTCGGTGTGCTTTTTTTTTTTTTTTTTTAACCTGTGTTTAGTTCTTCAGTTCTTGGTGAAACAGGCACACACAGACCTAGACATAGGTCCTGTGGTTTAACCATCACTTCTGTCCCCCCATTAACACTGAATATCTGCATTCTATCAAAACAACTCCTAGATATGACACATCTTCTCACTCTTCTTTCTCTTTTAGTTGGGAAGTAGATAATAAAAATGCTATTATTAATTTGGATTAAAAACATTTTTTTTTCTAGGCACAGTTTATTTAATCATTGTCTTGTCTAACTAACATCTAACTTTGAATTCTTACAATTGATTTATTATCTCTTCATCTTCTGTTTCTAGATTATTCTGTTAAATGCTAAAGTGGAACTTTTAGATGGATTTTTTGGTGACATTCTGTTGCATTTGTGAGCCGTGGACAAAATCTGTTTTGCAAGGTTATCATGACCTCTGAACAATACCTTTGTGCATTTTAGTTCAAGTGGACATTTGTACCATGCTCAATAAATATCTTGCGGGTATTTATTGGATTTTGCATTCATGGCATTGCACTATGTAAGCAGACAGATTGACAAACAACCTGAGAAGAGTGTGTCTAGACATTTAAAGCTGTAGTAGTGCTGTAGCCTTGTTTTTGGAAGTAGATATACTTTGACATTCACCCCTTATTCTCAAATTGCAACAGATGCTTCTATCATATTTTTGCAGTCACACATCACACATTCAAAATATTGTCTCGAGACCAGGACTGCTATAGTGTACTGCAACACTAGGAGTTTGTTCTGTGGGTTGCCGAATCAAACCCCTACTCCGTCTGTCTCAGTCGTTGTGTCCTCGGGCAACACACTTCACGTGCCTTTCCTTCTAGTGGTGTACGGCGGTCTCGCTTCTGTCATACTGAACGTAGTGAGTTTGGAGTCCTTCATATAACACACTCTACCATTGGTCAGTTATATTAACTTGACGGTCAATGGTCAAACTAATATAACTGACCAATATACAGGTCTCACTTTTGGAATTTGATTTTGTCATATATTGGGAAGAGCCTATGTTTATTAATTCATCAATGTAATTTAACCTCATAGTTTATTTTTTCTCTTCTGGTGTCTCTTTTAGAGTCTAATTTGGTTTTATCTACATAGCAGGTAATTTTGCAGCTGGATCATTGTTTGTTTGTTTGGTAAACCTTGTTTTGCCTCATTAAGGCCAGACTTCTTGTATTAGTGATATATTTTTTTGGACAATGGTGGCAATGGGGGTAAGAGTTGTCCCCCAGTCGGTTGGTTGCCGCTCCATTTGCCTCCATCGGTGGAGGGCCTGGTGGAGCCAGTCCATGACAGCCTCGCCTCTGTCAATGTGCCCCAGGGCAGCTGTGGCTACCATCTGGTAGCTTGCCACCATCAGTACATGAATGGGTAAATGACTGAAAGTAGTGTGAAGCTCTTTGGGGTCCTCTGGACTTCATAAAGTGCTATACAATTTCAGGCCATTTACCATGTATTTAACATTTAGTTATATTCAGAAAGTCACTCACTCCTTAAAAATCACACTTAGTCGATTTGTGCATAGCATGACACCTGAACGTATTACATGAGGACTGAATCACGCGTAATAATTTATCCAGCCAAATGGTTCATATTAGCTGTTTCTTCTTTTGTATGAATCTGTCAATTTAAAACATATCTTTAAATATGTTTATATTATTTTAATTCTGAGACTGTAAGAGATGTTTGTTTGTTTGTTTGTTTGTTTGGGTGAATTCCCCTGTCCAGAAATGATGAATGACAACTTAGTTGTATGAAATAAACGAGTCTTTTTTTTAAGACGACTTTCTATAGGGGAACTGCTACCCTTCTTGCACACTGCAGCCAACTACTGATCAAATCTTATACTGTCTCTGCCACCATTGTTAAAGCTCCAAAGATAATGGAACAGAAAAGTAACAGGAGAGCAGTATCACCCTGACAACACTTTACGAGTCTTTATAGCCCTCCATCTGTTTTCTTTATTTCTTTTTATTTACTGAGATTTAACACATCTCATGTCTCCACCTCTACCTTTTCTACATTCCTTCTTCCTTTGTGCCCTGGGCTGTCATTGGTTTGGACACAACGTTGTCAGTATGCAGTTTCTTGTTGCATTTAGATCAAGTAAACAAGAACTAAAGGGAGACAGAAACATAGCACAGAAAAAAATAAAGGTCTCTGAAAAAGCTTTAGAAAATAGTTGGATGTAAGTAAAAATGTCTATAAGACCATATACAGTTTCTTCACATTAAAATATGTTAAATACTAAAACATGAGATGACAAAATTGCCAGCAGGATATGTACAGGTACAGAAAAACTGCTAGATGTACAAAAAACAAAAACGCTTAGCTGACCAGAAATGACTGTCTTCTAATATTTTGCTGATTTAGACTAGTTAGAAGCTTCTTGGTGCAGTCAATAACATTAATTAATTGGCTGACCACTGGAGAGAAAGAAGGAAAAAGCAGTAATTGCTTTGCAGCTATCGTGATTGGCTGAAAAGTCTTGTTGAGCATTACTGCCTTGGTCCTAATACTGCTGAATGCTGAAATATAATAAACAAATAACTAAATTCACCTGAATGTTTCTGTGTAATTATCGACAATATCCTGATCTGTTATAGTAAAACTGGAAACTATTGGTGCATAGAAAAGATGCTGTGCAGGCTTTGATAATTGACCTTTGTTATTCCTGTTTGTTGTTTTTAGTTGGTCGATGCTCTGTCAGCCTGAATGAGTGCCTAATATTGTAGAAATCATAGGGGAGCTTTGCTTCTTTTAGTGCTTCAACCATTTTACCCTAAAGCCTTGTTTTATTGATTTGTTGTCAACCCCAGCAAGTAACTATACTGCAATTATCATATTGACTGATAAAGGAAACCTTAAATATTATGATCTGAAAACATGACCTTTTGGTTAAAATGATTTTGCTTTAACTTTGGGATAATTAGTATCCCCAAAGCATTGCGAGACTCACTTCTGGGCTTTTATTTATGTTTTCTTTATGCCATTTACGTGTTGTTGTTGACTTTTGCAGCTGTACGGCAAAGTAAAGGCATTGCTAATAATATTCTGAAATGCAACTAAAACAAAACATACCATAAATTTGTCAGATATTTGTCATTTAATTATATTTAATCTTGTCAAAGCTATAGCAATCAAAATAAGTATATCTCATTCCAGAAACGGGTGGATGCCTCAAATTTGATACATTTTACTATATGACCTGACTATATAACAGATTGTAGCAAGTTATTGGTAGACTGTATCTGGGGAGAAGAAACACAGAAATACTAGGAGTAACTAACTGAGGTTGTAGATTTCTACAGATGAAGATGTTTATGCTTGTTAAAGATAAAAGTATAAAAATTAACCATATGACTTAAAAATGTCAAAAAACCTGTTACAATTGTAAGTTCTTTTTGATTGATTATATTAATCATCAAAAAGGTGAATGCATGTTACACAATAAGAACTAAAATATCTCAATGTTATGTTATCCAAAGATGCATGTTTCAGTCTGAATAATTAACATTGAGTCTTTCGAGGTATTTGTTAGCTGATCTGTCATTTGCATTATAAGGTTAATATTAGTCTTGGTCGGATTTGTCTTTGCTTCTTTCTTACTTTTTCTATTCATTTTTGTAACTTCAGGGCATCGTTCACACAGCAGCCTTGGACGTCACTCTGAGGAATACCTGCTTTGCGAAGTGATGAAGGACAGATATGCAGAGCCAACGGGAATTCAAATTCATTCAACCCAGAGAGAAAAAGTGTCAGCAAATGAACTCAGAACATCTGGTAAACATCTGCACACATTCTTCTAACACTCTTCTGTGTATTTTCATGTGTGTCCTTGAACAGTTTAAGGAAGCTGGGTGCCACCTGTTACTGCTCCGTGTTCCTTTACACTGAATTCAATTTTGTACACAATTAATCCACCAGATTCCTCTTATAGCCAAAAGTTCATGACAGTGACCATGGAAATTTTTTAAAGAGAGTATACCTCATCACTGTCGGACACAAAATGGCACACATGCCATGGTTATGCTGCAAGTACTGAAAATATATGCATGTCTGGGCATTAATCCAATAAAGTATTTTATCACGTGCGAATCAGGTCTGTCCTCATTAAAACACTGATATATTCTATCCACCTATATGAATCTACTGTGGCTCTAAAAAGTGCCACAGTAGATTATTTATTTATTTTTTTTCTAAAGTGCCTTGAGATTATATTTGTTGCAAATCGGAGCTAAGTAAAGATACTGAATGTAGCAGAAAAATTTACAAAATTGTTGTTGAATACAAAAGCTGCAATAGTTGGGCTGCATAATGGACTCAACACGTGGCAGGTGATGTTGCTCTCTTCTCCCTTCATTTTCTGTGCGATAAAGTGAAAAGCGCTTGCTTTCCTCCGGGTAAGCGACCCATGAAATTGGTGCATGTAAAATTTTGAGCTCATACATGTAGATGTGCACATGGACCATATATGCAAGTTAACAACGCGACACAGGTAAGTTGAAAAATGTTCAACTTTTGCTGCTGTCACGTCCCACGTTGGATTCACCTGTGAGTGAGCCCACACGTGTGCAGATATTTAAAGATTTACTTTTTTAAAGTACCTTCTGATATAGCTTCAGCATTCAGTTATCTTGAGACTGCACTTATCATCAATTATACTGAATCTGATTAACCTGAAATAAAATTAAACTTTCTTATCAGTTTCCCTGACACTGCTCATTTTCACTCTTAAGTTGACGTCATAGTTTGCAGAGAGGCAAACACAAATTAAAGTGATAGTTTTTAATTTACCAAGAAATCAGGTAGCAAAAATTCAGCATTATTGTTTAAATGCAATCAGCAACAATCTGAGAAAATGTAAGACAAAAGGGACTAAAACTGAATTTTTCCAAAATTGATCAGTTATGAAACTTGACCTGATTAGATAAACTTGAAGGACAAGATGCCTGTTCTTCCTGCTGTCAGACTCCTACCAAAGAAGACTAAAACCTGAAATAAAGTCAAAATGTGCTTGAACAAACAATGCACACTTGTTCATACTGTGTTATTGCACCTTTTCAATTTCTATTTTTACGCCATTATCACATTTCAGCTAAACTGTGCAGGATAATTATACGTTTTTAAATTGTCATCCTCTAATTTTTATATTTCAGAACACTGACATTTTAACTGGGAAGTTTCTTTGACTGATTCAGATTTTACAGGTCTCTTGTTGTTAAATACTTTGTATTATATTCTAACATTTGGAAATAAACGGCATAAATTTCAACGGATGTATTTTTAAAATCTCTATAATCTTTCTACCTGCAAAATAGTTTGAGTGATGATAAAATTGCATATTTCCTACAAGGTAACCATAGTCGTGTCCTAGAAGAATCGTTTCAAGTCGGCAAGGCTTCCCTTACAAAGCATCCATTCTGTGCTTCTAATTTAGGCTTAATAGAGAAGTGAATTCAGCTGCTGTACTCTCATTAACACTTCACTGAGCTAATGATAAAATCATTGCAATAAAGCCAGTAGGTTATTGAAAGAGCTAACATATGGTGTGAAAGAGGTTTTTGTGATTTAGTTCATTAAAATTTTCAATTTTAACTTTGCAATTAACTGCATTCTCTTTGATCACTGTTTATAGTTAATATTAAAACAGAAAGGGAAAAACTTCTAAAAAAAAAACAAAAAAAAAAACAGGTTTTATTTCAGTTTCAATTATATTCTACACAACGGTCATCAAGATTTAATCCCCATACACCAGTGCAGATTTGCTGTCCAAAAAAACCATAGGAGCAAAATTTATCAAATTGCTTCTCTTCACTCTTATGTTTTCAGTCTTTTGTCAATAAACTTAATATGTACAAAATCTTTAAAGTTTCACCCAAACTAGATATATCAGAATACTTTGCCATGTTGTATCTGTCAAACACTCAATGCTATTTGATGAAATTGTCAATTTAACAGAAGCCCTTAACATGTTTTTCAAGATCCTTCATTTACGCTAACAAAACCAAGCATAGGTATATCATTCTCCTGTCTTCCCAGTGACTAAGTGCAATGGGGTTTTTTTTAATATAGAAGATTCACACAAAAAACATCTCTGCTAACAATCATGAATGACTGTTTTAAACATTTCTTGAAACTATTTTCGATTGGGGAACTCGTAGCTGTTTGTCGTTTTTGTTTTACCATTTTTTGAGTCTCTTATTTTTTTGAGTGTAGTTGACACTGATGTTATACCAAACTGTAGGTTTATAACAAGAAAAAAGATTGCATTAAAATATGACTCAACAATATAGATATGTAGAACTATACTGTTAGGAGGGTACAATTATTGCATGGATGTTTTCAGTACAAAATAAACTTGGTTCAGACTTGCACTACCTTGCAATATTCACGGAAAGTCTGTCACATTGAAAATATGACTTGTTAAAAAGGTCAGATTTTGTAGATTGTGTGACTTTTAGATCTTTCCCTTCACTAATGTTATCTAACAAACTTCTAGGGTTAGAGGTTAAATTACATACAGCTTGACATTTTTTGTGCTAATTAGGTGATTTCTGAATGCAATTGGTTCCACTGGATTTTACTTCGTTGGGTAGTTAAATAAGTGCTGAAGGCAAATGCAATGCCGCTTCTCTTTCCACTTAAAAAGTATCCACTATTTTGAGGTTGTTTATCAAACCGAATCCAAATAAAATTCATTTTAGTCTGTGGTCGTATCGTAACAAAAGCGTTGTGGGAAAGTTTAGTGGGCGTGACGCTCTTAGCAGCAGCACGAAACTGAACATTTATTCTAAATTGAAATGAATTTAGTCCAGAAGTATCTATGTTCAGATGTGTTTTCAGCTCTTCATTTTGTGCATCTTTCCTCCCGTGCCATTTACTCTGACAGTGCAGGCGGCAGTGATGCTTTAAGTGGAGGTTCTAAAGCAGCCTGAAGACAGGAACAACAGCAGAGAGGGAGGAGAGAAGGTGGGGTGAGGAGACAATGGAAGATTGAAAGAGTGAAATCTTTAACACAAGAGCTGAAACTGGTTAGACAGCAAGCAGCATGAGGAATCAGTGTGCTACAGACATACACATGCTCAGCCACACCATCATAGCTTCTCAGTGGGGGCCTCAATGTAATTTACAGTGAGCAGGTGGGGATGGATGTTCAATCTGATTCAATTTGATGTGGCTCGCAGTGGAGTGGGATGAGACACCACTCATTCCACTAACTGTTGTGATCATTTTTGTATCTCTCACTCTTTCTTTGTAGCCAGAGCTACATTCCTTTTACCTTTGCCTTTCTTCCACTACGCTTCCCCTTATCTCTGTCTAACACTCACTCCTTCTGTAGGTATTTTCAAATAATTCCTTTTGCCACATTCTTACGTCCGTCATTGCATCCGTCAATCAACAGCACATCTTCCAAAACAAGAGCTGAGACTCTTGAGTGATCAGAAAAAACACTGTTTGCAAATCATACAAAATCTTCTCTTAAAGGAAAGCTCTCTCAACAGCAGTATGGTATAAGTTGTTAATAAGGCATTTTTGGAACATATGCACCTTTTTTTTCCATCCAGTCATTTAGGGAAAAAAATCTGTCTTTACCTATTCCAACTGCATGATTTCAAGCCCCTGCAGTTTTGCTTCTTTGAACTTGCTATGCATGAGTAGATACCATTACTCATCTTTGTAGATCATTAAATATAATATCTGTTGTTTATTCCTTCATTGATATGGACCACAAAAACTCCCATGCCCACTTGCTCAAGAAAAAAAAAGGTTAAGACTACATTTTGACTCTTTGAAGAACCTTGACTTAATCCCACAGGGAAATTAAATATTAGTTGAGGTTCTTCAAAGAGTTGTTGTAGATGCTAATGGCTTTGGGCAGAAAGATTTCCTGCAGCAGTGTGTATTACAGCAGTTCTGAAGAAGCCTCTGACTAAAAACTCTGTTGTTGCAGTGCAGTCTTATAAAGAGGATGCTCAGGATTGTTGATAATTTTCTGGATTTTCTGAAGATTTCTTCGTTGCATTGTCATCTCCAAAGGTTCCAGAGTCATTCCCATAACAGAATCAGCCTTCTTTGCCAGATTGTTTAGCCTTTTTAAGTCCCTGGCTTTGCTTCTACCCCCAGCAGATAATGGCAGAAAATATTACACTCTCCACAACACACTTTTAGAAGATATCCAGCATCTTGCAGTTTACACTCTGTCCTTCCTTGTAAACTGCTTCGCTGTTGCATTTCCTATTCAGCCTATTGCCCAGATGAACACCAAGGTTTCCTCAACCACTTCCACTACACTTTCTCTTCTCCATAAAAATTATTGCTGTATTTTAGATCCTGATCTTCAGTAATGGGGAAGAGATATCCAGTAAACAACATGGAGTCAAAAACAAACAGTATTCTGGCACAAGAGAGTTTTGGATTTTAGTAAATGGGAAAAGTCGCCGTCCGGTGCTACTGTCAAAGATGTGGTGTGTGTGTGGGGAGGGAACTAACATAAGAGCGGAGGGTGGTTCGCCATAATATGGGATATTTACAGGAAAATACTAATACAGGAGCATGGAGGGAAAGGGGGTATAAAAAATCAAAAAACTGTATTTTTCCAGCCAAAACGGGAGACTTGACAGGTCTGCTCCTGTGAGAGAGGTTTGACTGATAGACCGGCCCACCAGGTCATGTCTGCACAGTTGCAGTTAACAATAGTGACCCCCTACTGTTGCCAACTCAACAACATTTTTGCTATATTTAGCGCCATTTCAGACAAAAATAATTGGTATCAACCAAAATCTGAACCGGCAGGTCAGGCTTTTTTAAAGGTAATCGGCCAACAGGCAGAAAAATGCAGTCGGTGCACCCCTAGCTTTCCACCTGTGTCTTCTGGAATTTTTGACAAAGTAAATCAGGCTGAGTTGCATTAAATACGTTGGAGAAATCAAACAACGTGAACCTTTCAGTGCTGCCTTGTTTGTCCAGAGATGTTTTTCTTGAATGATAAACCAGAGCTCTCAGTCCAACAGAATTTGAATTAGTAGGGAAGCATTGGTCACTATTCCGGGGTAAATTAAGATTTTACTGTACATGTACTTTACTTTTTCAAAGATTCAAAATCATTAACCACGAAGCTGTAAATATTTATAATGTTTCAGTTGTCAGCATGTTGACTAGAAAGACTAACAAATACTCTGTCATAACCAAATCACTACCATGCCTTTTACAAACACAATGGCTGGTTCAGCCAGGAAAACGCAAGCTGAAAAGTGAAGGAATGTAACAGATAAAATCTGATTTCATACAGTTTAGAAGGTGAGTGTTGTTCTTGCAGCATGTGTGCATCAGTCACCATCCTGTGGTTTTTTCGTGAGGCAGTGAATGACTAAAATCAGTGTAGTAAATGGGGTAATGAGATTTCTTTCAATTTAGTTTTAATTGAGAAGCCCACCGCCACCTGATGCCAGTGATTAAGACTGATCCGGTGCATTAACTTATTATGGTGAACAAGCGGTTTCCTTGAAAATATTAAGTAGATGTCCTTTATTGGGAAATAATAGATGCTCTGCAGCCAGTCAGTGCTGAGTGTTAACAAAGATTTTGCTGCTTTTTCTGAGTAAGATAGGTTTTGAACGAACTAACCATGTACATTTTATAGCCGTATCATTTTATTGTTGTGTGTACTGTCTGTGTGTGTTATTGTTAGCTGTTTTGTTTTGTTTTGTTTTTTTTTTTCAGTTGAAATATTTGAGTGTGAAATTTGTGCTAGTCACGTGGACCAGAACTCTCAAGCAGACAATATGTATTTCAATGAATATTCAAGGTTAAATTAAATGAAGTAATAAACATTGTGAGGTGATACAGGTTTTCATTTCTGCCTTCCAAGACTTAAAAATGTCCAGATTCTCTTCATATTTCAGCTGGATTTTGTCTTACAGATTGTGAAATTATATATGGAAGTTGATAATGGGTGACTAATTAGTAAACTATTGTGTTGTTTATCTCATGACACTATACAGGGAAAGAAGTAGGTGCAGTTCAATCAAAATAAAAAACTAATCATTTTAATTGAAACATCCGTTTTCTATCTCAAACCTAAAGACGCAATGTTTTTTTTGGACATTTTATGAATTTATTTTTAAATAAAGGTTCCGTCATTATGTCAAACTCATCATGCTTTCTTCTTTCCCTCACCTCTTCTTCCCACCTGTTTGTCTTTAAAATTTGCTCTGGCAGGTTGTCAACTTCCTCGAGCTCCACAAGTGATTATGGAGATCTGTAGCGTGGACCAGACTGGCTGTGAGGACCCTGACATGGACACCGACATGACCGCACGAATGCTGCACATTATGGAGCAGGAGCTACAACTTCTGGCAAATACACAGTGCATGCGTAAATAATTCAACAAATAAATAAATAAATGCCAGCATGTTACCTTATTATGAAATTGACTTGTAAAAAAATCAGTAATCTTTAATATCTGTTTTTTTAAAAAGCTGTCCAAGTTTTCAGTTTGGAGTCAGAAGACAGTGGAGGGGAAAACGGAGATGAGAGTCAACATTTGAAATGGTGCATAACATTCAGCTGGTTACTTTTACTGCATAAGCAGCATATGCATCCCTGTGTCCTTGTTTTTACAATCATTATGTGTATCAGCATGTGACAGTGCGGAGAGATTTGTCATCACAACATTATGCTTCCTTAAACTCAACTATTCTGATTCCTGAAAGAACCAAACCACATTGATTGAGAATTATCTGACATTGAGTTTTGCTTTTCCAACCTTAAATCTTTCCACTCTTCCTGGTTCTCCCTCCTTGTGGTGCTTGTCAGTCTCTCTCTGTCTGATATATGAAATGTGTAATGGATCATTAGCCAGCACAACAACTTTAGCTCTGACATCCTGTTAGGTACTAAGTCCTAATGTGCTGTCAGTGTTTATATGTGTGAAAATAGAGTGAGAGAGCGTGTGTGTATCAGCATGTTCCCTTGTATTTTTTAAATAATCTTAAGAGTCTATGCCCTTTAGATACTTCAGTATATAGAAAGTATTTTCTGCTCAAGAGGCCTGGCACTGGCACACCCATAGATTTGAAGTGAACAAAGTAATTCAAGTTTCACAAAATCAGTGGTGTTGCCTGATCAGCAATGTATCTTCTCCAGTCTGTTTTCAGGCTCTTTGGCAACTGGTTGTGGATGTTTCCACCACTTTCATTACAGTGTTTGTTTTTTATCAGACGTTTCCCACAGCCTGCCAGTATGTCACTGCAGACACACTGTTTTCTGGCAGGAAAATCCTAAAATGCCAGAAACTCTTGTATGTACCGTTGGATTCAAAGAGATTGCTATGGAGCCAATAAAACCCACAAAAGGAGGCGTCTCCTAATTGCAGGTTTACATGCTGCATGTGTGCCTGCAGTGGTAAATGATCTATCCTGTTGTAGGGGACAAACAGCAGAAAACAGCGCTGTGGTTGCTGAGGTGTACTCAGCCAAGTTATTTGCTACCTAGAAAAACTGTGTTTTGGGCATCCTCACTTGGTCAGGTGGCCACTTTGTCAACCCTTAGTCATACTTTCTCTCCTCCATAAAAAAACGTGCTGTATTTTAGATCATTTAATGCTATCCCAATCTTCAGTAATGGGGAAGAGATCTCCAGTGAACAACATGGAGTCAAAAACAAACGGTATTCTGGCTCAGGCGAGGTCGCTGTAACCATTGAATTTGTACAAGCAAAGTGGATTTTACACTGTAATACAAGGTTCAGATTGACCCACTAAAAAAATCTAATATTTGAAAAGCTCAGGGTAGAAAGTTATTAACACAGCAGGTTTTATTATATGAAAATTAACATACTTTTGCAAATTCTTGAGACATGTAGCACCCTGTTGTAAAAGGCCTTTGAGTCACCTGAAATATTTAGGGTATTTAAGGGCATTGCTGCAAGTGGTTTACTTAATAACATACATATAACTGCTGGTTTCAAATGTGACCTAATGCTCTCTTACGGCACCACATAAGCTATACCTCCAGCTTGTACACCCTATGGACATTTATCATCAAAGGTCTCTTCAAGGGACAGTATTATTTAAAATTGACTTTTTGACCTTTACATCATATTATAATGTTATTCTCTCTGTGTTGCCTTGATTCTTTCATGCATGTTTGAGAAATCCTTGAATCTGCCATGGCAGCATTTCAGTTGTGCAAAACTGAAGGTAACATGGTTACGTGATTGTTCCATAAAATGCCACGATGTGCCTGGAAATTCATATTGCTGCCCCTTCAAGATTAATTCCTGGAATATTTAGAAAATTTGCAGCACATGTATTTACTAATTATAGGCCACAATGTGAGGATTGTATGTGTTTTAACATTCAACCTTTAATTTGTGGGTTTGGTCTTTTAGGGATGGCCCCAGCAGGGAACAGCACCAAGAGGAGAACACTACAGAGAGAGACCAACAAAGTGTCCTCTTCCTGCCATGAGTCACGTACTGACAGAGACAAGCGAATGAAATTCATAATTGGTTTAAATTGTGTTTATGTGCTGTGCAGATGCGTTTTACCCACATTCATATAAATGTAGCCGTTATAATAAATGCTGTTTTGATTTGCCTTCTTTCATCTGTGACTCTTGTCCCTGTGCACCATGTTTAAATTAGTCATATGGGAGGACTGTGCCATACTGCGAGATGCATGCCTGTGGAAGGATTAACTGAAGAAATAAAACAATTTGACATGCAGGGGACGGCAATGGGACAGGAGGTGACGTGAAGACAAATGGTGTCTTTTCCTTTATTCTCAGCAAGAGCCTGCCTGGAAGCCTTTGCGTGTGTGTTTGTCAGAACGTGTAGAGTGTGTCTTTGAGACATGAGTTAAAGGACAGACATTGAGGGACAGTTGCTGTTGGTGCCAGTTTTCTTTTTTCCTACAGGGATTAGGAAGAACTTTTTTTCTTTCTCTCTGTTGTCACCATTTTGTTCTTTAATAAGGTTAAGGTGGCACTAGATTAGGTCAGGCTGTCTACACATACACGTGCATGCACTGAGTAAGCTCCTGTAGGTGATAAATTATGTTTGCGAGGGAAGGAAAAGGAAACTGTGCCAGTGGTTGCTGCTCCTGCCATCTCTCTGTACGCTTCTGCAGGAGTAGAGGAAGATAAACACCAGGCACGGAAACAGGTTTGTCGTCTCTGAGGCGAATGTGCAGATGCTCTAGTGCTGTGTTGCTAGTGTGTATGTTCCTCACTTCTGTTGTTTCCCATTATTCCCTGCAGCCAGTCCTAATCTATCATGGCCGCCACTGTCCTCTGCTGAGATCACTACCCCACATCCACCACTTTATCTCCAGCTGATATGCATTTGAGAATCAAACAAGGACAAACAGGTGGAAAATCACGCTTGCATTACAAAGCCACACACACACACAGAAACTGGAATTCAATAGATGCTAACTTCGTGATGGAATTGCAGATTAGTTTGTGAACTGTTGATTGTGTGTGGTGAATGTGAACGCACATGGCCCCGCTCTTTACTCAGTAACTGTGGAGGTATATAAGGGGCATTTTTTTTTTTTTTTTGCCTGACGCTAATCGCTGGAAGCAGACAGCAAAAGCCCCGTAATCCAACAGCAATTACCACAAGGCTGATTGATAGCGCAGGGACAGAAGGAGATGGACAGAGCGACCAAGAGATAGACAAGGAGAGAGAGGTGAAAAGGTAGATCTTTGTTATTGTGTCCTTCACTGAGTTTATCACTTAATGTTTAGGAGAGGAAAATAACAAAGACATAAATCTGATGGATATCGAACCAGTAGGCTGAGCCTAAACAACTCTGAGATCTATGCAGTCCATTTCTCTCTTCTTTTTTTTTTTCTGTCTCTTCACAAACTGAATCACACACAGACCCACGACTGCATGCATAGAAACATGAAACAAGATCAGTGAAGAAGAGGTGACCTTTGTTAGATTTGGAGGTGTCTGTTAAGCTGTTGATGCTCTCAGAGTGAGAGTGAAACTGCAGAAGTTGACATTTAAGTCTACTATATTAACTGACCCCCTCACTGCACTAAAGCCATGACTGATTGTGTCAAAAACACAGAATTATCCAAGTCACACAGCCCGCTTCAAGGTTTTTTTTCATACTTCTGAGTAAATTTAGAAAACTGCTTCCTTTCAATCTAAATTCTAGCAAACCTTGCAAGATTGAACAGAACAAATATCGCAGCTGGAACTGATGTTAAAACGTATTGTTGAATTTCTGTTTGTATCCTCAAGAATTGCTGTGATGATTTGATAGATGGGATTTGTTTTCCTTTCCTTCTGAACCATTTCTCCTTCCTGATCAAAACCCTTCAGAATTTCCTCACATTAAATGTCCGTTTTATAAACATTTATAAAAACATGAGACAAGATCAGTGAAGAAGAACTTCACCATTATCACCATTTCACTTTCTCGTTTTTCTTTAGTTTACCCAAAACTATATTCTGTTTGTCACCAATAACTGATTGTGGGCAACAATTAATAGTAATTGAATATTTACAACCAAGCCTTTCACTCGCAATTTCAATACGGACCAAATGCTTTTATTTGGATAACACTTTTTCTTACATTTTCTAAAAAATATTCTATGTGTGTCATCAAAATAATTCACCAAAATAATATATTCATTGCTATTGAATAAAAAAATACTTGATCATTTCATAATCTGCTTGTCTTCTAGGTATCTAACGCCGATATTTATCGTAAATCAAATGAGACTGAGGTGCAATGATTTCTGTAAGCATAACTCTCAGTAAGGTGATCATTTTTGTCTTGATATCTGTAACTCTGCAGTTCCTGTCTCTCTTAAGTGTACAGTATGTTTAATGATTCATTGGTGAATCGACAGCAGTTGCTTGGCATGCTATACCCAAGATCATTTAACGTGCGGTTTCTGGATTACTTTCCTAAAAGGTGGATTGTTAAAAAGCTTTGTAAACATTATGCAGCTCTGATTTGATGTGTATTTTTCAATTCATAAAAAAAAAAGCATTAAAAGAGATTATAGACCTACTGAAAAAGGTTCTTTACTCAGACATGTAACACACCACTTATGTCACGAGAGTACAATTAGACCATGGTAGCTTTAACTTCAATGTATTATATCACTGTTTGCATGGCTGGTAATGCAGGAGATGATCAATTAAAGCATCCCCACCCCCAGCCTCAATGGTGCGCAAACACCGTAGCATATACCATCAGTCTTTTGAGATTTCACTCATAAATCTCTTCAAGTATGCAAACTACATCATCCCAGTATGAATAAGTGGCTCTTTTTCTTTTTGGCTTTCAGGTTGGAGGCATATTTGCTGCAAGTGCAGCCATCTAATCATGTCCCATGTTGTCTGTTTCAACCCTGCTGCCTCATTATAGAAAAAGGAAGAAATGTCTTGTCTGTCTTTGTGAAATATAAAAAAGCCTCATAGCTACTTAGTTTGTGCTAGCTGCTTTCTGTGGGTCTGCCTTATTATTCCCAGGTTGTGAATAGACATAGCGGTGTAGTGCAACACAGGTGTGGGATAATGGGCAATCTTGTTTTGAACATGCAGGATGAACACCAGAATGATTTGCAGGTATCTTAGAGAATGCATAGCCAGGCATTAAGATCCCTCTATTCACGAAGCACAAATCCTCGGTTCATGTGCTGCATTTTTATTTTATTTTATTTTTTTTTCTTTGCTGCATCCCTACTGTGTTTTCTCATGTTGCAACCTGCCCAGCTTTAACTTAGTTGTCAGTAACTTTCAAGGTTACAGCCTCGTCTATGCCTAAATGACACCCCATATGGTAGAAATGGGAGTACTTTATGCGCTGGACAGAAACTTCAGGCAGACTAAGTTATAATCGGGGGACAGGAGAGGGAGCGAGAAAATATAAAGAACAGAGAGGTTGTGGTGGTAGAGGGGAGAAATTAAAGAAAGGTCAACAGAGGACAAGAGAGGAATGGAGTGACATTAAGGGAGGGAGAATGCTAGTTTGATAAGGAAAGGTATTTTCCCCTCTACTCTCCCTACCTGCGTTTTACAGGTCTACATTTATCTCTGCTCCGCTCCTGATGTTGTCCTTTTACACCTATTCAATCACTCCGCCTAAAACCATTCTTTCCTTACCACTCTTCCTCAGTACTCCCCACCTTCACACCGTCTCCATGGTTTCCTCGCCAATGCTCGTCTCCTTTTCCCCTGTGCATATCTCTCTGTCTTTTCCTATAGCATCCCTCTCCTCTCTGAATCCCTGCATTCCCTTCAGCCCTGTGTCATCCTGGGTGCTATTGTCGAATCGCCAGGACCAGCTGACAAATCGATACATCACTGTAATTGATTTTGTCAGGTCTCAAAGTGTTTAATGAGAGCGAGCATCCTCCCCCCCCCTCCCCTCCCCTCTTTTCCCACCGCCTCCCTATGGCACGTGGGCTTTATCGAAGTCCAGTTTAACGGTTAATGGAGGCATCCATGTGCAACGAAGTGCTAAAAGTGGTGGGTGAGTAAAGAGAGCTGGGGGCATGAGACAGGTGAGGTGAGGCAGTGGTAGTGGAGGGGTGGGGGTGTGTTGAGGGTTAATTAGAGGATTTCTCAAGGTGATGGATTGGTTCAGCTGGTTAATTAGGACAGGTAAAGGCTACAGGAGATCTAAAATGTGTGTGGCCTTGGGAGAGTAGCACTTTGTGGGAAGGAAGTGTGTTTAAATTTATGCGTGCTTTCCTTGTGGTTTTAATGCTTATAATTGCACATACTGATTTGCAGCCTTTCTAAATCAATATGCGTTTTGGAAAGCCAGTCATTCATAAATTCTTTGCATACTTTGGTAATTTTGACAATTGAGGTTTATAATGAATGAAAAACCCACAAAGCCATAATAAATTCAGTCTTCTATCACCTGAAGGAACATTTCCAGGGTTAAAGAACTAATGTCCCCGCAAGATCAAGAGAAACTCATAGAAAAGTTTATCTTTAGTCACATTGATTACTGTAATAGTGTCTTCACAGGCCTGCCTTAATAATCAGACAGCTGCAGCTGATCCAGAACGCTGCTATAGCTTATTCCAGTATTGGAATAAGTTATAGATTGAATAAGGCTCCAGTAAATAAATCTGAATTTAAAAAAACAAGATGGATGGTGACTTTTATAACAAAAAAAAAAAAAAAGACTAACAAAACAAACAAAAACACAGGGTAAACACGAAGGGAAGCAAAGATGCTTTTCAGTCTTAAAAAGCACAGCAGTAGAGGAGAAAGCAGGCACTGATGATGAAGTGTGCATGTCAGACTCAGCTTGTTTTGCTTGTATGCATGTTTACATGTTGAGGATGGAGAACCTCACGGACAGCGAATCATTAATATCAGCAGCCTGTTAGACACTAATGAATAACAGGAATATATTGCTGCTCTGCTCTCTACTCGTCACACACTCTTCCTTTCCTTCTCTCTGCGCTAGATTTGTTTCCTCCGTCTTTAATGAGAAACACCTGTTGGAGTTCCTCGTTAGGACCAAGCCTACCCCCCCAAACACACACACACACACACACACACACACACACACACACACA